CTGACAAGCTACCCAGTGACCAGCACCTACCACAAGAACCGCCTGTTGGGGCGCCTGGGTGGCGCAGTCGGTTAAGCGTCCGACTTCAGCCAGGTCACGATCTCGCGGTCCGGGAGTTCGAGCCCCGCGTCGGGCTCTGGGCTGATGGCTCGGAGCCTGGAGCCTGTTTCCGATTCTGTGTCTCCCTCTCTCTCTCTGCCCCTCCCCCGTTCATGCTCTGTCTCTCTCTGTCCCAAAAAATAAATAAACGTTGAAGAACCGCCTGCTGTTCGTTCGTTTGTCTGGCAGCTGAGGCTGGCCGTACCACCAAGTCTGGAAATTTTCCCAGATGGGTGTAGCTGACGGGCGAAGACAGTCGTGCTTTTATCTAGGAGTCCTCAAAGGTGGCATTTGGGAGAGACGTAGGTGACCTTCTCACCCCTTCTCAGCTTTTCAAACGGGGAACCAGGGCTGGGGCGATCGAGTGTTTGAACACACAGCTCGACAAGGGCAGGATTTTCTCTTAACAGCTCACGCGTGATAGATTTTGGTTGGATTTGACTCTGGGTCGGTGCTCCGCAAACTGCCTCCCGCAGGCCAAATTCACCGGCCATCTGTGTTTGTAAATAAAGTTTTATTGGCACTCGGCCGTGGCCCTGTGTTTACAGCAACAGAACTGGGTCGTTGCAACAGAGACCGTCTGGCCTAAAATATGCCTTCTCTGGCTCTTCACAGAGAAAGGCTTTGCCAACAACTACTGTAGGTGAATGAGAGAAACAAAAGCTGGGATAATGTCTCCTTTTAGCCTAATTTTCCTTATTGCCCAAATAGGCGGGGCAGGAACGCGGGCCACACTTTGAACGTGGATCTCACAGGACGTCTTAGACCGAGCACACGTCGATTAGATTCTTTGCCCCAATTCTCACGTAGAGACAAAGTCACAGAATTTGCCTCCCACTGAAATGTATTAATGTCCTCAGGGTGTTCATCAGTTCCGGTTTTGTTTTTGTCATTGGTCCCATCCCCGCTGGTGGTCGCGGATGATTTCTGACAAGCCATTACGGTTAGTGTAGACATGAGCCACTTTCAGCTTCGGCTTGTGGGTTCTTGGCTGTTCACTCAGCGCCGGGGTCCTTGGCACGTGAGGGTCTGTGCACTTGCTGAGGCAGAAATGAGGTTTGCTTGTCAGGAGGCTGATGCGTTGGGCCGTCCAAGTGCCCTGGTCCTCTCCCCCCACCCCCGTGCCCTGTGATCACCATGTCGTTCATCTTGGAATTTCTCTAAACTTTGGAATTTAGTTGAAGTCCACAGGTGTTCATTTACTAAGCACCTATAATGCCCTAGACACGGCCCTAGGGGCTCAGGCCGGGATGCGTCAGGACACCAAGCAAAAAAATCTCTTGTGTGAACATGACCCTCTCGTGGTGGAGGCAGACGGTAAGCAGTAAAGCAGAATAAACGTGCAAAGACTGTAGCCGGTGAGCAGCTGGGCCGGAGGCTGTGGCAGACAGCAAAAGTCGAATTGGAATGGAGCAGACAGGTTGCAGGATTCAGCTGGGTAGTCGGGGCAGGCCGCACTGAGAAGACATCTGCGCGGGCTCGGAGGCGATGAGAGAGTGAGCTAAGGGGACTGTCTGGCTAAGAGCTTTCCAGACACGGGACCACCTGGAGCAGAGCCCCCCCCCC